CTTATCTGTTTGTGTTGAGTAGCTCTGCTTATTAATATTCTTTGTTCTGTTAGTGTGCTTTCTTTTAGTATTTGTTATGTGTTTTCATGTGATTTTTTTTTCTTTTTCCCATAGGTCTTAAACCCTCTGAATTATATGGAAAACATAAATGGAAGATTGAGAGATTTTCACAAATCAACAAAAGAGAGCTATGTAGCAGTGCTTTTGAAGTTGGCGGCTACAATTGGTACGTACATGGCATATATGTTTATATTTGGTTTCACAATAAAAAAAAAACTTGGGATATCTTGTTTTCAAGGCTCTGTTTTGTTACTTTTATGTTCAATTTGTCAGGTACATTTTAATATATCCCCAAGGATGTGATGTTGTCAGTCATCTCTCCTTGTTTCTCTGTGTTGGAAAACATGATAAACTTCTTCCAGGTTAGTATTTTTGTACATTATACTGATCTTCATGTTCCCCTTTTTTTCCTCTGTTTCTGGATACCTTCTCATGTAGGTTCTTTCACTATCTTGGCGACAGGCTGGAGTCATTTCGCTCAGTTTACTATATCTTTAGTGAATAAAGACTCAAGAAAATCGCAATTTAACGGTGACTTTTTGTGTCTTAATTTGCTTGTCCCCCATTTAAATATGCAGACATTGACTGAACTCACCTCTTGCAGATACACTGCACCAGTTTTGGAAGAAAGAGCATGATTGGGGATGGAAAAAGTTTATAGAGTTATCTAAGTTAGTACGTGATGGATTCATAGATGATTCTGACTGTCTTACAATTGAGGCTCAAGTTCAGGTGATCAGGTAATGCAAGATTGACTCTTATGTAAAGCTACCATTTGCTTAGAGCTTCACATGTTTCATATATATGCTCTCCAATTCAACACATGTGATAAGATTATACTCTTTATTTTCTCCAGAGAGAGGGTGGACCGGCCTTTTCGCAGCCTCGATTGTCGGTACAGGAGAGAACTTGTTAGGGTGTATTTGACAAATGTAGACCAAACTTGCCGGCGTTTTGTGGAAGAGTGGAGAAGCAAGCTTGGGAAGTTGATAGAGGACAAGGCAACATGGACAAGGTATTTTACATTGCAACTTGTACCTTTAACTCTAGCATACTACTGTTGCATTACTTTTATCATTCTTGGTTGCAGCTTTGGTGTTTTCTGGTTAGGGATGGACCAAAACTCTAGGCGTCGGATATCTAGAGAGAAAATGGACGTAATCCTAAAAGGAATTGTGAAACATTTTTTCATAGAGAAGGAAGTAACATCCACTTTGGTGATGGATTCTTTGTATAGTGGATTGAGGGCTCTTGAAGACCAAACTAAGAACAACAAAGCTAAGCCAAGACTTTTAGATGCCATGGAATCGCCAACTCCGATTGTTAGTGTGGACAAAGATATGTTCGTATTAGTTGATAATGATGTCCTGCTACTCCTAGAGAGAGTTGTTCTAGAGCCATTGCCATTGCCCCCAAAAGATGAGAAACGTCCTCAAAACCGTACAAAGGTTTGCAATGAGGTCAACAACGAAGCCGCTGAGCGTGATGAGAGACGTTTAACTGAGTTGGGTAGAAGAACGGTGGAGATATTTGTTCTTGACCATATCTTCAGGTAGCAATGCAAAATATGTTTCTATATGGTTAATGTCATTGGTTTCTTAATTGATGTGCTTATGTATCGTTACTTGAATATCTCTGAGAACTGCAGCAGCAAATTCGAGGTTGCATATCAAGAAGCTATTGCGCTAAAAATGCAGGAAGAACTTATTCGTGAGGACGAGGAAGCGCGGTTGGCAAAAACCGAAGAGAGGGCCGAAAGAGGAGAAGCCGAGAGAGGGAAGAAATCTAAGAAGAAACAGGTGTGTGATGCTTCCTCTTGTTCCAAAAAAAACACTAATTTTGCTCGTGCTTTTGTCCTATACAACTTGTGGAAGGTTGATAGGTGTTTCTTTGGTTGTTGAACATTTATTTCATAGGCGAAACAGAAACGGAACAAAAATAAAGGCAAGGAAGAAAAGGATTCTGTCACAGAGAAAGCACTGTAACATTCTCTTGTAGACGGTAAGATTTTGCAGTCCGGTTCTTGGATAATTTCTAATAGAAATTGTGTCTTTATTCTGTGACTTATTATTCCCTTTCATCACATCAAATGGTTCAAAATGCACCGAATCGTTCGGTTTAGTGAATCGGTAAACCAAGTTGTACAATATGTGATTGTTTTTTAAACTAGCGAGAAAATTATACAAAATTATAAACTTGTCGTCATCGAGTTTATTACCATGTTTGACGAGGAAATAACGGTTCAGCATCTAGCCACGAAGGTGAAGCAGCATTGTCTTGAAACATTGCAGGAGCAGTAACACCTACGCTGTTGCACGACTCGACGCTAATGTTAAACTCCGCAGCTACTTCATCGTTTTCGACAATATGAACATGCGACTGTGAACATCCAGTTGGTGAACGGATTCTCTCTAATTCCATCGACACTTCTCTCATGCTTGGTCGTTTCTTTCCGTTAAGATTCAGACACCTCCTTGCAAGTTGTGCTGCAGCCATGACTTGCTCTAGTTTGCAATCATCTTTGATTCGGCCATCAATAATGTCCACGAGTCTGTTCTCTTCCATTGCAAGAATAAAATAAGTTGCCAATGTTCTGTTTTCTTGAAATCTCACTAAGGAGATCGGTTTCTCTCCCGTGATAAGCTCGACTAGCACTACTCCGAAGCTATAGACATCGCTCTTGTCAGTGAATTGGCTAGACTGAAGGTACTGTGGATCTACGTATCCGGCCGTACCTGAGACTACCGTAGTGAGGTGGGTATGATCAACTGTTACCGATCTTGAAGTGCCAAAATCAGACACCTTGGCTCGATATTTTTCATCCAACATTATGTTTGTTGTTTTGATGTCTCTGTGATAAACCGGACACGAGGCAGCTGAGTGAAGGTATGAAAGAGCTCCAGCGATATCTATGGTGATGCGTAAACGTACTTCCCAAGTAGCCATCGTGTAATCATCCAACTCATCATGAAGATGCTCGAAAAGATTGCCATTGGGAATGAACTCGTAAACCAGAAGAGGCACTTCTGTCTCAAGGCAACAACCTAAGAGTTTCACGATGTTCCTATGGTTGATTTGCGAGAGAATGACAACCTCGTTGATGAACTCTTCGAGCTTGTCTTCGTCTACAACTTTTGATTTTTTCACTGCTACGATTCTACCATCAACAAGCATCCCCTTGTATACGGTACCTTGACCACCTTGTCCAAGCACTCTGTTTAAGCTGAAGTTCTCAGTAGCTTTCTCTAATTCTCTCGAATGGAATACTATTGTCTTCTCGATGCTGCCTTCGGTTGAAGTCAATTGTTGTTGCAACAATAGACCTCCGTTACGTTTGAAGAACTTGTTTTTACGGTTGATCTCCTTTCGCCTTTTAATAAATTTGTATAACCAGAAGCTTACAACGACAAAGATCAACACACCAAAACCCACACTAAACCCTGCAAAAACCACGAGTAGAAAAAGTGAATATCAGACTTATATATTCGTAACGCTCATCAGGTACGAAAGAGAACTTGGATAGAAAGTACTATTGGTATATTTACCAATAGTAATTGGCAAAATCTTGTTCTTCTTAGATGGGATAGGAATACACT